TTTGCCTCCCTCTTCAGCTCTCGGTATCTATCCCTTCCGGCACATGTTGTGGTTAGTCGCAACATTGCAAGCTAGGCAGCCTGTTTTTTCTCCACTTCGGCACGGCAGTTCCCTTTGTACAGGTTTTTTATGCAATCTTTCTGAAATCCAATAATTTACTTCAGAGCTGCAAGTAGGAAGCTTGAAATTCCGCCCCACAGTTCCCTTATACCAAGTTGCTGGAAAAAAATATTGGCTTAGTAGAAAGTATTCCACTAAAACTATGCGATTTATGCCGAATATGTACCGTTTTCTTAGATAACTTCTGACTTTGAAGATTCTGTTACCCTGTCCCACTCTCAGAAATCCTTTTCCTCATTGCCAAAAACTTGGCACAACCGATTTTCACAGGCTTTTCTTGAGTCTTATGAGAAAAGAACCACATGTTTGAATAATTCTCAGGCCGTTTTGTTCACAAAACTTTCAATATCAATCAATTTGTAGTTCATGTCTCTCAAAGCAGCTCCTCGCAGATAAAATACCCGCTTTTCTTTTAAATCCTGGATGTAATTCTGTTATACGTTGAGTTATTGTTTGCCTTTTGAGCTCGTTCTGCGACTCGGTTTTATCTTCTTAATAGTCGTAGAATGATTCCTTCAACCGTGGGATTACGAAAAAGCTATCCGCATTTGTGAATACAATCTCCAAGACCTGATTATGGTGATTTTCGGTATTTCTCTGTCTCTTACTCTTTCATGGGGCAATGGTATTTCTTTAATGACTACATTGCTCGTCCCCAGATAGAATCTATTTAAGCAGATTAATATCATTCAAATTTTCGAGCAAACTACGTTTTTACTTATTCCCAAACTTTACGAAACAATTTCAAGGCATGAGCCAATCGGCATGCCGACGAACTTAGCAACTTCCTTGATAATAACTCGAAGATTCACTATTGTATTTTTCTAAATTTTCTCAATATTTTCATCGATTAATATCGTGCTGTGGAAGGCGGAGAAAATCGGAAAACGAATTTTTAATATCCTTCGCATATTTTTTTGCAAGGACCATCGGCTGTAGCAATAATACGAAATTCCTCAAATTTTTTGAAAATCACAGAAATCGTTATTCTTTTTTAATGTAACCATTCTCCAGTTAAAATTCTAAATTACAATTTCTGAATTATTTCCAAATTTTTTACTTCCTGGCAAAAAAAAATATTTAATTAAAAAATTAACAAAAAAAAATCATACCGAAAAAATCTTCAAAAGGTATTTTTTAAAAAAATAAATTTAAATCTCTATTATTTGTGTTCATATTTATTGTTGACCACCCACATATATTAAATTAAAAATTACATCCATTTTTTAGACTTAACAATATTTTATTTATCAAACTCCAAAAAAAAATTTATTTCAAAATAAATTATTGCAAACTCTGGTGTTAAGTCTTATTTGAATAACTTTTGTAAGTCAGAGCTTAGGATAGCTCAGACTGCATGGTATAATAAAATATGCATAAAAAATACCGTAATCTATCAATATGCGCATCTAACGGCATTAAAGCGTGCCGTCGTCACAGATACAAAATTCGCATACAAATAAATATAAATATATATATATATATACATGTGATCGTATGTACATGTGATGTATGTATTTTGCATATATATATTATCAAAAGCAAATATTGTACTTGCACACACCTATATTTACATTTATGTCAGGCATGTCTGTATGTACTCACAAAGATAGTATAGTACTTATAATCGATTCCATCAAAAGTTTTCATGTCTATGGCATACATAGCCACATATATAACATAAATTTGTGTATGTATAACCACAAATATTTTATTGATTGCATTGTAAAGGCTGACTGTTGGAATTCTACAAAATTCAAATTAAATTTATGCATAAAATTGTGTCTCGGAAGAAATTGAGTTTTTGTGTAGGGCTACATATGTATGATACATATATGTTTCTACTGAGAAAATTGTTTGATTCTCAGAAAGAATATATTTTTATTTATTTAATAGTTATGTTTGTAATAATATAAGAATTTGTGTACTCCTGTATAAGAGTCATTCAGGAAAAAAATTAAAATATATAGACTTGTCATTTTGACAGTTGATATGCACGGGGAAGTGTTCTCATACAAACAATCTCACTTAGTGCTTAAAAAGAGCTGAAATATCACTTTTCGATGTAAAATTTTTGGTGTATCACAATAAAATAATTTTTTCTTTTATAACAGTTTTCTAATTTTTTGGCCTCTAGTGTAACTAAATACTAAACTGTTGTGAAGTTAAGTTTGAAGTGTAGCAACATTATGAGGGTAGATAAGTTTGTTGACATGCCATTACAAATCTATGCATATATCTAAGCAAGACAAGCACTTGCACAAGCCTTTAATAATACCACACTCAAGAGATACCGACAAAAGTAAAACTCTTTATGCAAATTTTAAAAAACTATTGAACCTTTAAGATTAAGTAACACAAGAAAGGCAAAATAATTTAATAAAAATAAAATAATAATTAAAAAAAACGTTAATAAAAATATATTAAATTAAACTCAATAAAACTTAATCAAATTAAATAAAATTAATTTAAAAATTTATTAAAATAAAAATAAATCAAAATACAATAACTCAAATAAGTTGAAAAAAAAACGAATAAAATAAAATAAAATGGCATGATATTTATTGAAAATGAATTAAATTAAATTAAAATTAATAATGTAAAATAAAATAACTTTTATAAAATTAAACAAAAATAAAGTAATTTTAAATAAAATTAAACAAAATAAAATAAGAATATTTAAAATAGATTTAAACTAAATTTATATGAATAAAATTAAATTAAATTTTATTAATTTAAAATAAATTAAATTAACTTAAATTAAATTTAAAAAAATTAATTAACTTAAATGAAAATAAGTTAAGCTTAATTAAATAAAAAAAAATAAAATAAAATGAAACAAAATTTAATTAAAAAAAAAATTAAATAAAAAAAAATAAAACAAATGAACTAAAAATATAAATAAAATAAAAAATAAATAAGATAAAATAAAGCAAAACAAAATGAAATAAAATAATAAAAATTAAAATAAGAAAATTGAAATGAAATAAATTAAAAAAAAAAAAAACAAATAATTAAAAACAATAAAAAATAAAGTAATATTGAATAAAAACTTTTAATGATATAAAAAACAATTATTTAGAATTTAAAAATTAAATAATAAATAGAATAATATAGGAAAACAAAATAAAACAAAATAATCCCTAATCAAATAAAATAAAATAAGATAATTAATGCTAATAAAAATAAATTCAGTAAATTAAAATAAGATAAAATGAAAATACAATAAATAAAATTAAAATTAATTAAATTATATGATATGAAATAAAATAATTTAAATAAAAGAATTTAAATTAATATAAAATTATTTAAAACACTAAACTAAATTAAATTGAATAAAATTAATTTAAATTAAATTAAATAGAATTAAACTACACCAAATAAAATAAAATTAAGTGAATAATGTAAAATAAAACAAAATAAAATTATATAAAACAAAATATAAAATAAAATATCAAAATAAATTAGAAAATAAAATAAGTTAAGCCAAATTAAATTAAATTAAATTAAATTAGAATGAATTAAAAAGAATGAAGTTAATTTAAATAATATAAAAGAAAATAAAATAAAACAAAATAAAATAATATAAAAAAATAATAAAGCTAATAGAACAAAATTAAAATCAAATAAAATAATACAATTTAAAAATAATAAACTCAATGAGAATAAAAAAATTGAAATGAAATAAATTTAAATGAAATAAATTTAAATAAAATAAAACAAATGAACCAAAAAGGAATAAAAAAGCAATATAAAATATATTGATACATAATTAATTAATAGAAACAAGAAAATTAATAATAAATAAAGAAATGAAATAAATTAAAAGAAAATAAAACAAAATAGAAAAACACAAAATAACGTAAAAATAATCAAAAATAAAATATCATAAATTAAAGTAAAAAATTTAAATAATATAAATAAAAATAGTACAAAATAAAATAAATCAGAAAACTAAAATAAAATAATATGAAATAAAGCAAATAAAAAGAATTAATATAAAATAAATTTAAAAAAATAAAATTAAAAGAATTCGTTAACAAACATAAACTAAAACTTAATTAATTTAATTTAAAAATATATAATGTATAAAAAACATTTGTTTGTATAAAAACTTAAATTAAATTAATTATGCAAAATAAAATAGTTTATAATAAATAATTTAAAAATAATATAAAATGACAAAAAATAAGTTTATATTGTTAGAAAAGTTAGCAGCAGTAAATAAAAAATATTAAAAAAACTATAATTAAATAAGCTAATAATATATTAAATTAAAAATGGAAGAACAAAAATTTTTTCAACAAAACTAATTACCAAAGCGTAAAATAAATTTAAAATGTAAAAAACAGAATTAAAACTATGTAAAAGTTATGTAAAAATAACTATGTAAAATAAAATCAAATTGAAAAAAAAATAACTCAATAAAAAAAAAATTGGAATGTATAAAAGTTAACGAATATTATAAAATAAAAATGAAATCAATATAAAAATTAAAATTTAAGTGGAAAAAGTAAAATTTAAGAAAATACACTTAAATTTAAGAAAAAAAAAATTTCACTAAATTAATAAAAAAAAATTATTTTTTTTAAATAAAAAAAATTAAATAAAGAACTTAAATAATTTGATATAAAATTAAATGACGTTATATAATATAAAAAATCACTGTAATAATAACAACTCGATTGTTTCTGTCAAGTTATATATGCACTAACAACAAATAGAAATCTCTTATCTCTTAAAACCTAATGAATCTCAACAAAATTGGGTTATTGCAACATTGCAGCAATCTTATTTATGTATTACATTTATATACACACATACCACTTAGTGAACAACATTTAAACTATACAAATTACATTTATTTAATTTCTTTACAGTCTCGCAAATAAAAAGATCAGTGGCCAGAAGAAGTGATCCCGAAGAATAAGCACATACATACCTGCACAGTACAAAAGTAGCTTAGCTAAAGATAAAAGACAATATGAGCAATGCAAATATGTCTACAACTACAACAACTGTCATGTTGTCCACCACCGCACTGCCCACTCTCAACTCAAGTAGTCAAGTGGAAATCCTAACGCCAGCATTAAGCAGCGAGGAATTCGACAATCTCACCTACGATGACAATCAATTCGACATTTACACACATCCCACATTAGCGGAATACTACAATAGTGAGTTGTTTAATTTTTGATATTCATAATATCATCTCATACTTTCTTCTCTCCTCTACGCAGATCTCACGCCATTCATCACGCTTTGCATCTTCGTCGCAATATTAATACTTATGCTCAACATTTCCATATTCTTCACCACTTTGGCAAAACTGAAACAACGTCTACGCAAGCCGCTACTTGGTCCATCAATAGCACTCGTCTCCCTATACCCGCTCATTAGTTTGGCTGCGTTGCTTACGCTGCTCTTGCCCAAATTATGGTTCTCTTGTCACACTGTGATGCATCTCTCGTTTACCGTCGGTGCGATATTCTTCTATCAGCTGTGTGGGCATTTTATTGGCTCAGAGACGAGTTTTATTAAGGAAACCGCTGGTATGGCTGTGCCGATTAGAACACCGCCATGTTGTTGTTGCTGCATGTGTTTGCCGGGAGTGACGCCGACGAGAGGGCGATTTGTGATATTGCGTTGTATGGTTTATCAAATGGCATTCGTGCAGGGCAGCATAATGTTCGTGTTGAATGGAATCTTCTATAATGATATGGTGAGTATGACAGAAGGCAGTACTGTCAAGGGAGAGAGAGAGAGAGAGAGAGAGAGAGAGAGAGAGAGAGTAATAAGATTGAAGAAATCAAATGACATTATTTACCTCGAACTTGTGATTAGGACAGCGAATTGAAGTAAATATTTTGACTTTTTGTTTCATGCCTATTGAAGATCCATCATACTATTTTCCCCAAACTTAATTAGCCTCTCTCTCTGTTCAGCGTCGAACACTCGCATATTAATTTTTCTATCATCTCCTCATGCTCACAGTACCTTCTCTACCTATTGTCATCAACCAAAACTAAAATGAAGACATGTGACGTCAATAGTCCTACTAGAAGCTTGGAGTCAGGAATACTTAACCCTAGTAAGAAGTTTGTAAGCTTTGCGTTAGTAAGTCTCTAAGCTTGTTTCTTGCCACATTTTAGTAATCTTAGAAAAAGTCGCAAGTCTATTGCTACGTCCTGCTCTCAATTTCACCTCTTTCTTTGACTACATTGTTGCCTTCTATGACCTGGTACTCAATAAAGTTGGACTAATCTTTTATCTTCAAGTCTTTTGATCGCCCCTCCACAACCAATACCGGCTGCCTGCTATAAGATTAACACTTCACGCTTAGATGTTAGAATACTCGGCCGAGAAATTTCTCTCTAAAAAAGTCATATTCACTCGTATTGTATGGAATGTGGCACCACCTTGTTTCCAATTGAAATCACATATTACTCAAGTCGTGTTCTTCAATTCAGTTCATTTTTAAAGAAGTAAGGCCCAATTACACACCAAACTCCGAAGCTTCAATTACAACAATTTGGCTTATTTACATATTCTTGCTTGAGTAGTGTGCTCCGTCGCTAGAGAAAATCTTTTAAGGTACGAAGCGTGGTCACGATTGAATCACTATTTTTGTTGTTGTTGTTGTTGTTGCTGCTGTTGTTGTTGATGATGTAGCGGCTTAGTTAGGGGCAAGTTAACCACTCTAAGTCACTGAGATCATCTCAGAGGAGGTCCAGGAAATATGCTGTTTCGACGGGATCGGACCAAAGGGAGAGGGGGGTTAGATTCGGCTTAAGGGGGCATGTGAAGACGTGGTTCAGGCTATGCGTATACTCTCTACATCCAGGGCATACGTTGGGTATGTTGCGGTCGAGTCTAAAGAGGAAAGAGTTTAACCTGCCACAGTATCCGGACCAAAGTTGTGCCAGTGGCACGCGGGTAGGTTTGCCTATTGGGGTGCACTTACGGTAATATCCCAATAGGAACGGCATGTACAGCAAAGCATTAAGTTGCTTAACACGTAGCATAGATGCTTGGCTGTGCAACTGATGCTCCAGCGACATCAGGAGGTTGCCTGTCGCGGTCCTAATAAGCCTTCTTTCTCTGCGTCTCGTTTGTCGCCAGCGCCCAGATCGGTGCAGCACAGTTTACGACCGGCCGGCCAATTGCTTTATAGGTTGCCAGTAAGGTCTCTTTGTCTTTACCACAGCGCTTTACCTTTGAAACCACGAATTGGATAAGAAAAGCTTAACCAAAATCATATCTTAAGTGTTCACAGAGGAGCATTTACCAAAAGCAGTCGTATTAAGGAAGGAATCATGAATGCTTACGGGTAGTGTCTTCTCAGCCATGACAACATCTACCTTCTGATAAGAATCCGTTAGCCACTCAGTGGAATTTCAGCTCTCATTTGAGACAAAATCACAAGACAATCAGTGCGGAAATTCAGCAAAGAAAAGGTGTATGTACACTTGATATAGAAATTTTTTCATTTTTTAAATTTTGTTCTAAATTTCAAAACAAAAAATTTGATAATCACTTGGCGCTCATTAAAATATTTCCTCGTGCGTTAAATCGCTATGTTTACGCAGTTTATTATATTAATTAGTATACCACAATTGAACGCAATTACTATGTACATAGTAAATAAGTATTATTGTAGATATTGACCAACTAGAGAGAATTGCTGTGGACAGACAGTGAAGCGCCACGGCAATTATTTGCATGTGCTAATTAGCCTAACAACAAAACCAACAATAATGCAGATAATACCAAAGCTGTGAGCATAGGCAGCCGCTGGCAATTCTATAAATAAACAAATAAACAAATAAACAAATAAATACATAACCATATATTATATATATTTAGTTGGTACATACATACATACATACAGTGGTTAGCGCAAAGCTAGTGCCGATTGCTTGTTCTTACAACAACAATAAGGTATTTTAAGAGGTTTAAGTACATTTGCGCCATTTGGCACGTGCGTCAGCATAGCCTCGGTGGCGCAGTAGGCAGCGCGTAAGTCTCATAATCTTAAGGTCGTGAGTTCGAGCCTCACCCGGGGCATTCAATTTTTTGTTTTATTTCTCTTTTTCTAAATAAATGAGAATTTTATTTTAGTACTTCTAAATTTTAATTTAATTTCAAATATTCCTTTAAAATTTTCTGTTTGAAAATAACAAAGATTTTCTTTCATTTACTATGTTTTTAAGCTATATTTTGAGGACTAATTTTTGTAAATTTTCTCTTTTTATCTTCTTTTTATTTTTTATACCTTTTTATTCTTAATTAATTAATTTTTCTTTTTTAGTAATTTGTTCAATTTCATAGTATTTTTTCCGAATTTTCAATTTTTCTGACTAAAAAAATTAAAATTTTAGTTTTGAAAATTTTGTCTATTTCTAAATTATTATCTTAAATTTTTTTTGGATTTTTTTTTGTGCTAAATAAATGAGAATTTCATTTTATTTCTTCTAAATTTTAATTAAACTTCAAATATTCTTTTAAAACTGTCTGAAACTGAAAATAAAAAAATTTTCTTTTATTTACTAAATTTTTTAAATTTTTTTTCACTTGGAATAACTTTTGTAAATATTCACTTTTTTATTTTATTAATTTTTATACAATGTCTTGTTATTCTCATATTTATTTAACATAAGATTACATAAATTTTTCTTTTTTTTTTTTGTATATTATTCAATTTTATTGTATATTTTTCGAACTTTTCTGACTCAAAATATCAAAATTTTTGCTTTCCATATTTTTTCAATATTTAAATTGTTATCTTAATTTTTTTTTTTGTATATTTTTTTTTGCTAAGCAAATCAGAATTTTATTTTATTTTTAATATATTTTCTTAAGTTTAATTAAGTTTAAAAAATTCCTTTCCGAATTTTCAATTTTTTCGGACCCAAAAAATAAACATTTTTACTTTGTCGAAATTATGCGTAATTTTAAATATATATCCTAATTTTTATCTGTATTTTTTTTTTTTTTGCTAAATAAGTGAGAATTTTATTTTATATTTATTTCTGAAGTTTAATTAAGTTTAAAATTTCGTTTAAAATTTTCTGTTTGAAAATAATAAAAAAATATTATTATATTTTTTTTTTTGTTTTATTTTCTTTTCTTTTTTAAGTTTTTTTGCCATTATTACATTTTTCGAAATATTTTTCTAAAACAAATAAGAATTATAATTTTCTTTTCCTTTTTTCCGCAGACATTATTCAACGATGTGCAATCCTACTTCTTACCATTCATCATTTCATCCATTATTCTAGGTGCTTGGGGGCTGAATATAACAGTGCGTGTGGTGAATAATCTGCATACGGATTATAGTACAATGGTGAGTTAATGAAATTCATTTATTTTCTCCGCATATTTTATATTTCTTCAACATTTCTCAATATTATTATTTATTTTTTATTTATTTATTTATTTATTTATTTATTAATGTTTTTTTTTTAGAAAAAAATGTTTGCACTTCAACTAATTTTGCTGTTATGTAAAATGCAATATCTTATGTTGGACAAACAATTGGATCGTTTAATATTGGGTGATGATTATCCGATGAATCATATTATCTATAAACAAAGTGAGCATATATAAGCAATTAATAAATAAATAATGAATCTAATTAAAATTTGCATTTCCCCGCTCTCTCGCTCTCATTGCAGCCATCATTAACACTTTGATTTTGGTGGAAATGGTTTTGGTTTCACTTTTCGCTCAGAATGCTTACAAAACTCCAGTGCAAGTCGATGAAAATTAAAGACATACAAACGTACAGTATAGTAAAATATAATACCTACAAAAAATAAAAGAGGAGAACTTGTTACTTAAGCGCAGCACTTGTATACTTACCTTTATACTTTTGAGATCTATACGGTAGTTAGTTTACTAGAAAAGTAGTTTTTAAACACAGATGTTAGCTTAAGAGCATAATTTTATTATGTATAATTTTGTTTTTTTTTTTTTTGTTTTTATCATAGACAATTTACTCCAGGCAAAGAAGCTTAACACGTATAATTTAGCGCAAATATTTGTCTTTTTTTACAGTAAATATATTTTTTCAATATTATTAATTAATTAATTTTACATTTACTTAAACACATATATGTGGATAATGACGAAAATTGTGATAAATAAATACTTGCAAATACATAATAATCTTAGAAAAAAAAAATACATTTTATAAAGAAAAAATTAGCTTCTTAAGTAGTTGATAAAATCCAATATTTTATAGAAAAAATTAAAATAAAAGCATACAAATATATATCTTAATAATTTGTTTAAAAAACTTAACTCAAGCAGGCCATTCTATTTTTTCTGAAGAAGTAGGTACGTACGTCCTTATGTTTTAATTACATATAAGAGTATACATGACTGGCGCTATACAAATGATGAGCGAATATATGGAAAGGATCAGTATAAATTTTTTACTAAAAAAAGCAAATCATTCACTTCGAAACTTTCGGCATTTAATGAAAAATTTATGAAAAAAAAAATATTTTAATTTAACGAAAATATTGGGCCAAGTAAAAAGTAATCCATTATTCTTGCAATAAATGGGATCACCTACATATATATCACGTTCTATATGTGCACTTTGAAATGGATGGATACACAAAAAAGCTCGAATCTGCCACATAAATTAAGGAGAAAAAACCTCTTCGAACTGTAAATCACTGCTGGCTCGTAACAAAATCGAACCATTTGTGAGACGAATGGTGATTAGTGATGAAAGGTGAATCACTTACAGCAACGGGAAATGAAAATGGTCGTGGCCGAACAGCAGCGAGCCCGGTTAATCCTTTTTATTTGTTATTTAAGTGATCAAATTTGGTCAATTTGTGTTTCACCAGTACAACCCTAGACTGCACTAACGATAGTGGCTCGCCAGAGAACTTGGTTGGCAGGTTCATATGTAGCCACCTTATGATGCAGATCTGGTCCCAAGTGACTGCTCTTTAAGGACTTTCCTTAACACTTTACGTTAAAATTCAGTATTGCTGAACAAAAAAAAAAATTGTATTTAGAACAAGTTGTACGTAAAATGCGACAACCAACCGAAAATATTAGGGATTATTCCACTGTCTGTCGCCCATCGTTGGCCAATAAGAATCCCCTCTGCTTGAATTCCTCACAGAAATCCATCATTATGAGGTGCAAAAGACTTGCTAATGAAATTTCTAAATTATTGTACATACATATATTTCACATACACATTTGTCTTCGAATTCGCCTTCTCCAACTTACTTAAAGTACATTCGATTCCAAAGAGCAGATAAAAGGCTAAAAAATTTTCATGGAAATTTTACATTAGTATACAGACACACATATGTATATGCATACAGACATACTAAAAATATTTATTTTGGTTCATTGGCTACGAATAACGAACAATTTGGTTGTAGAATTCAACAATTAGATATGCTTGCCTGCTTTTAGGCGCCTAAATGAAATTAAATGCTTCCCTAAACACACATACATGCACTAATGACCTATTTTGCGCGGCATTTCAAAGCGCAAATGGAATTTTCAATGGATATATCAAAGGAGGACTAAGCGCTTAAGTGCATATATGTAGATGTATATACATAATGGCACTTACATATGTTCTGTGGATGAGTGTACTTATGTGTATCATTTTCACGCGCTGCAAAGGAAAATGATCCTTGGTCGGTTAAGCTCTGCTGGGTAAATAAGCATTGATATTTAAAAGGAAAAATTGTCGAAATTGAAAATCACGAATCATTTAACTCAAGATTTACTGAAATATGCTACATATAAACATAAGTCTGTTGTTCATTTTAATATTGAAAATGTAATGTGAACATTCCTCTTTCATTGCAAAAAGCTTCAAAATGTAATGGAGATATAAAATGTCGAGAGATAAAAGAATAGAAATGAATATCTTAATTCAAATGTAAAGAAGAAAAAAAAAAACAAAAAAATTTAGTGGAAGTAAATAAAAAAAATAAAAACTTTTAAATTTAATTAATTTAAATAACATTAAAATGAATAAAACAGGAGTAAAATAAAATAAAACAAAATAAAATAAAATAAAATAAAATAAANATATAATATAATATAATATAATATAATATAATATAATAAAATAAAATAAAATTATATAAAATAAAATCAAATAAAATAAAATAAGATAAACTTAAAAAGAAACAAAACAAAATAAAAATAAATAAAACAAAACATAAAGGCAATAAAAACTAAATAGTATAAAATAAGTTAATATAAAATATATTAATATCAAACAAAATATAATAAAATAAAAAAAAATTAGCTTAAAAATTAAATAAAACGAAACAAAATTAAAATTTAAAATCCGACCAAATTAAATACAAAAAATGAATCATAACAAAATAACATAATATAAGATGAAATAAAATAAAAGAAAATAAAAAATGAAGTGATGAAAATGAAATAAAATAAAATTTAATCAATTATAATTGAAGCAAACTAAAAGAAATAAAATATTAAAAAAAGAGAAAAATAAAATATGCTAAAATAAATATTATTTGATATCAAATAAAACTAAATAAAAATATAAAATTTAAAAATAAATCAAATATATTTAAAAAAGGTAAATAGAAAATAGAATATAAATAAAAGGAAACAAAATAAAATGAAAAATAAATAAAATAACTTTAAACTAAATAAAAGCAAATGTGATATATACAAACAACTCCCACATCTAACAGCTTCCTGTATAAGCATGGAAACTCAACAGCACTCAAGCCATTGCAAAACCCTTACATGACAGACATCAAATTCCTCGTGCACAGGAGTAGAAAAGACAAACAGACAGTGAAGATTATAGAGAGTTTATAGAAAAATATGCTCATAAATAAAGAGATGGCTTCCAGATACATTTACATACATATTTGTAATCCAAACGGAGTTGGTGTTTGTATTTTTATTGTCCTCGCGTGGCTGGCGGCGATTCGATCGTTTTTATATTTACGATATATTGTCTTATGCTTTGTGTCTCTTTTTACTGATTTGTTTTTTATGCTCTCCAATAAACTTCGCTGCGAAAGCAGATAAAGGCCGATATGGTTTAGTAGAATGAAATACAAATAACAAAACGAATAACAAAAAGAAAGCATTTGAGTCCGCATGGAATATGTTGTGCATATATACATATGTATGTACATACATATATATGTATGTATGAAAATAATAAACTTGTATGCAACCAAATAAATCATAAATTTCAACGCAAACTCAATTTATTCCACACTCCTGTATAAATCTGTGTATACGAGTATGTACGAGTGCAAATGTGCGTTCAAATTTGTATATAAAATCAGTGTATTGAAAATCAGAAACATATGTACATATGTGTACATCCATAGGGGTTTATATGCTGCTACACAATATAATACAAATGTCCGGAGCATGGTATGTATGTAGTTGTAATGTATTTTTTGTGAACATATATATGTATTGTATATATGTCCTTGCTCCAATGGGTATATATTTAACATAAAGAAATGAAACACTTTGCGCCTTTTTGCGACATTCAAGTATATTACTCGGAGTTATGGAAGAAGAAGCAAATATATAGAAAACTTTTTATTAAAGGATATGAAATTCCTTCTTGTTTAGCGCCAGTAACACTTTTGTCTGTCTGTAATTTAGTGAAAATTGCTCGGCACCTTCTTCTCCTTATCTGTAGTTTTCTGCTTTCGACAGTATTGGGATGCGTTGAAAGGTCAATAAGGGCAGCCTCGCCAGGGGGTCATCTTTTTCTCTATACTTTTAGCCTTAATTCTACAAAAACCAGCTACGCAATTTGCTTTTTGGACTGAGCGTAATGACAGATCGATGTGATGGAAGCCCAAACTGTTCGTCAGATGGCGCAGGTTGTTGTCATTCCTTTTACCCTCAGATGCACCAAGCAAAAAGGTGTAGAGACATGTTGAGGAATTGCTTTAAAGGTGGGCAGAATTAAAAGCGCGCTTGGTACCTTGGTGTGCTCTGCCCAGTACATTTAAAAGGAGATCTCACATTCTAGTCATTTGCATATAAGATACGAACGAGCGTCAAAAAACTGATTGGTCCTTAAGAGAGTGGCCTTATGCCTGATAAATCCGCCATTGACCGAATATTATCCAATCACCGCACCTGAGAAAAGATCCCTGAAGCATGAACGATACACTCCACCTCTTCGTCCATCTTTAAGCAGCCTTCACAGCACGAAGAATACCTGCATCTACGCCAGTATATCTAAATTTAGTATCGCAGACGTTAAGTAACACCAAAAGCTCCATCCAGAATGGGAAGGATTCTCCGTGCTGTTCCATAACAAACTCATCTTATGAGTTCTTATTTAATTTATTGATGAAGAAAATAATACGAGCTGCAGAGCTCAATAGAGGAGGAACAATATTCCAACACGATATGGGATTTTGTGCTTTCTCCAGGTTGGATAAGGAATTGAGTCGTACGAATCTGCCAGTGAACGAGGATAAGACAAAACATCTCCTTTCATCACACATACAGTCAGCGCATTCCCGAATCGACTCTCACTTGACTGTTGTCGTTGAAGTCGCTCTTTCCCGCTAAATAAAGACTCAGCTCCACCAGTCTCTCATCATTCTCGTGCTGCTAAACGGTGCGGAGGCAAGGACAATGACAACATCTGATGAGTCGGCACGGTAACTTTTTGAGAGAACGATTTTGCGTAAGATTTTTGGTCTTCTGCGCGTTCGCACTGTTGAATACCACAGCCGAGAGAACAATGAGCCTTACGAGATATACGGCAGCAGTGATATAGTTCAGGGAATCAAGAGACAGCGATTACACGGTTGATAATGTGATCCGGATGAATAAGAATACTCTACATTTGAAAGTTTTCGAAACAGTATCACCTATTAGAA